AAACCAAAAGGCAACCGACGCTCATTTTGCATGACCCCGTTCAAAGAACCTTTGAGACGCACTCAAAAGGCCCCCGTGTTTGCTGGTCATTCTCTTGACCGACTCATTCACTCGCCAAGCAAAACACAAAACGGCCGGCGAGGCGCAGGAAGTTCAGGAGGGAGGATTTGCCCACGTTGGATTGCCCGAAGAAGGCGAACTCCGGCAGTTTGGGGTTCTCCGGAGGGCACTGGCCTAAGTCCAGAAATGGACATGGATGCTCGTCTCATGGGGGGAAGGGCCAAGAAATGTGTCAGGCTTCCCTGTTTTTAAACTGTTGTCCCGGTTTTCCGCCTGGCTTTGGAAAAACGGCCGGTTTGGCCGGGCGTGGCCAGGGTAAACGGACAACTACACGTATCCCAAGTCCCACCGGGCAATGTGCTGTTGCTCCCCGGATTAATCAACCCCAGTTTATTGATATGGGGGGGGTTCCCCTCCAAAGGTGATGAAATGTCCTGTAAACCTAGGGACGCCCTCTACTGATAAGCAAGGTGTATTTGTGTGTTTCTTCCGGGGTCAACGTCACGGGTGGAGGTTTTGGCGCAATTTCTGGCAGTGGGTGAGAGGATGATTGAACCATGGCTTGGAATAGTTTCTACTTTCGGAGACACTGTGGATAGCAGGTGGTTGACGCAGAGCACCAAGCGGTCTTGCCTTTCGGAAGTCGGCAACGGGAAAGCTGCGATTTGCCGGAGCAGATGCAAAGCCCAACAAATGGGTCAAGTTTCCCTGTTTGTTTTTGGTTTTTGAAGGGCCAAAAGGTACACTCAAAGAAGACACACCCATATGAATCCAACCAGTTTTTTTTGATGCAGCCGGTTTTGGGATTCGGATTGGTCTCAAAATTTGTTGGACCCCCGAAATGATCAACCTCCTCTTTAAAACCAAGGGGGCGTCCCCCCAAAAGAACACGCCCACTGGAAACGGAACACTCAAGTCAACTAGTGAGAAAAAATAAACAACAATACGTGGGGGGGGGGGGGCGGGGGGAGCAAAGTAGAAACGTATGCATCAAATTCCTGCAAACCTCTGGCCAAACTTCGTGCCGAAATTTGTTTTGGGTTTGGCATACTCGGCAAATTGGCGCGAAAGCAAAACAGGGGCTTCCCGAAAGATTCCAACTAAAAATGGATGGCGGTTGATACCCCATGCTTGCTGCAAAAGACTGAAGACGTTCACGGTCAGAACACGGAACATACGGCTCCCGTCAAGGGCATTGTCTCTGAATTAATGATGTTTGTTAGGAATCGACTCCACATCTGATACAATGAGCTGTAATGGTATATAGCCATCCAATGATTGCTACACCTGACACTCGGCTTGCTGCCCAAACAAGTTCGCAGGGAGAATGGCTCGCAGGGCGAGTGGCAATGACATCATGGTGCAGGCTGTCCAGGTTTGTGGTGGTCAAATCAACTACACACTTCCCCCGACACCTTGCTCATAGCACACCTTCTTTCAGGATTGCTCCGCAGAGGTGCAACACCCGCTTCAAAGGATCGAAAGGACAAACCATGTTCCGACGGCGCGCAACCCGAACAGTCTGTCTACTGAGAGCTGTCAGCCAAAACGCTGTAGAAGAAGGAGCGGTGCGGGTCCTCAACACCTAAGTGCAGGGGCAAGAGGGCAATGGCTTTTGGGCTGGATAAAGGTGTCAAACTACCCTCAGGGTTTGGTCATTGCTTTAGTTCAAAAGCAACCCAGTGTCGATGCTGGAAAGTCAAAGACGGGAGTCCCTAAGCACACATTCCCATAGTCAATTTCTAAGCCAAAAGCAGAATGGGGTTTCTATGATGTGCCCCATAGGAAAGTCAATCCAGACTTTTGAGCTCTCAACTTGGTGCAACTGGTCTCCCATTGCCTAAAATCCTGTCCGCAGAGCCCCAGTTGCTTGGAGTTCCCCAAATCAATGCTGTCATTGTGGGATTCGTGTCAGGGGTCGTGGGGAATTGCCTTCTTCACGTCTTCACTTGAAGTGGGCCTAAAGGTTATCCTTTCTTCCAAACTAAACCTTCCGCCACATCCGGTCACTGCACGTACCGCTTTCTTGAGTGAGAGGCAATAGGCGATCAGGGCTCAGGGCTCGAAGGGTTGAAGGGTTGACCAATGAAGATCACCTTGCAGGAGCCAAATGTGAGCCAAGCATGAAACAACCAACACGAGCTCGGACGCGGTACTCACGACGAGTGTCTTTTGGTGGGAAAGCAACTTTGCAGGGCAAAAAAACTGGCAGCCAGCCGCGGATCCTTTTGCCAGACTCCCAAACCATGGCGCCTCCCCGAGCGTCGCACTAACGCCATGGAACCGAAAGACGCTTCGGAATCGGTCCTGGTTTGGACTATGGTTCTTTAGGGACCATTTCTCTGGTGGGTTCCATGGCAACGACAGGAGGGTACTCCAAACGGAACATGGAGACCGCAAGCGTTGAGATAATACATGCAGCCCAGGAAGAGCCAAGAGTCACAAGTGAGCTGAGCTGCGAAGGGATAGCCCAGCATTCTGTAAACAAATACGCTAGTTAACCCACACTGCGACTTGATTTCCCTTTAAAGCAACCCAACGTGGGTACCCTAACAAACAAACTGGACTGGCTGGCGCGTTGAAAGCTGCCATTTGCTTATTCAGGTTGCTCAGGTGGGCAAATCAGCGGGAAAGCAACCATGTTCATGTCTCCCCGCTCTGAAATAGAAGCTTGCGTAGCTGAAAAATACCCTCAAACATATTGGTCGCATAGATCCAAACAGATACGCAAAAACTTGCGTCCAACCTGCAGACGGTTGTCAAGAAACAAACAACATCTCTAAGAAAGCTTCCGCACTTTCCAACGGGTAAACTCTGCTTCGTGATGTTGACAAAATCAAAAGCAGGACAACAGGTTGGTGCTGTTTTTCTCTCCTCCCCCTATGTAGGTAGCTATCAGGGTCCAGGGTTTGATACTTTCAGGCGCGCCCCAAACAAATTCACTTGCGTCCCCAGCAGGGCAAAACAAATCTCGTTGTCAAGGTTTGTGGGCAAATGTGCGTTGTCACCCCTTCCCTTTCTCCCCAAAACCAATAATTTCGTCAGTTGCTATGCGTCAAAACAGGCGGAGCCCCAAAATGGGCTTTGGCCTTTCTTCCGGCTTCAAAAAACGACTCAGCCCCCCCCAAAAAAAGAGAGCAGCTGTCACCTCTAAACAAAAACCGGCCCGAGCCCCCCATAAAGTCCATCCTCGTTCCATCCAGGCCGCGGTAGATCTCCGGCCGGATGTCGCAGATCTTCACCCCAGCCCGACAGCACGTCCGCCGCGTCGCCCGCGAGGTCCGGGCCAGGGCCGCCAGGGCCGCCAGGGGAGCGATTGCACCTGGCGAAAGGACGGCACCGCCAGAGGATCAAAAACGGCCCCGAAAGTCACTTCCTTTCAATTTTCGGCCCCAAAAGTCATTTCCCCCCCACCCCTTTCGGTTGGGTATGGGCTCAGCGGAGGGTTGCCTGAGGGTTAGTTTCTTGGCGGATATTGGCATGGGGCGTAGTCAGGTTGGCGTGAAATTAATCGGGTTCATGGTTTTAAATTTTAAATTGGGACAGCGTTGGCAAGCGAAGAAGCAAACACAAACGGCAGGGAGAGGTTGCTTTACCTGCTAATGAGGTCGTCATTCGTCCTTCGACAAAACATCCCCATCAGCAACTTGGAGCCACAAAGAATGGCAGCTACTTGTCGCAAGTGGGTTCTCCAAATCGTGGGCCGCTTTTTGGTTTCATTTACAAAAGGGAAGCCCATTGGATTCTTTGAAGTCCCCGAGTGACAATTTCCGTCTCGACTTCCCCGCTTTCGCCTGCCAGGCACCACTCCAACCTCCCACACGGAGCCCTCCAGGGCTGCGCGGCCGCGGAAGCCGGGCGAGGAGCCCATGGCGCCGCCGCCTCACCGCCGGTTTTATTGCTGGGAAACCGTTGCGAGGGTCTCCCCTTCTTCTCTTCCCAAGACTTCTCCTTCCGGTTCCATGAGCCCTTCTTGTCAACAAAGTCCAATGCGCATCCGACCCAAATTGGGGCTAGGATGTGAGGTCGAAAGATCCCCAGAAATCTAAGCAACCAATGAAGGACAATTCGCTAAGAGCATCAGCTTGAGGGGGTCTTGAGATGTGTCTCAGGCGAGCATCCTGCACCGTGAGCTGAACAAAATCAACACTTGAATGAAGCAAACCCGCGTCATGAGTAGTACAAATGGAACAAGCCGAATGGGCTTGTGGGGTACTTAACAACCAAGTTTCATGAGAGGAGCAAACTATCAGTCATTGTTACAGGGGAAATCCAGCCATGCAACGAATCATGAAGGCTCACTTAGGTGCGAACCCCCCGGTTTCGAGCTTGTGGGTCAAAAATAGTTGGTACCCCCCAAAATGGTTGGCTTCACTGTTTCCTTTCGAGGATTCCCGGAGAGAAATCAACCCAATCAGAAAAGACACACCTACCACGTCCTTGTATACAGAAGTCCTGGTAGCTCCGAAAGGCTCCCTCTTCAAAAGCACATTTGGACACCAGCTCCACAACGGCTCCCCTCCAACCACTAGCCAGCGTGGCCACCGTGGCCTATGTGCCCGAATTCCAATCGTACTATATATATATATGTATATATATATATATATTGAGTCTGGCCATCCTAGCGCATCCTATGGGCTATACCGATCCCATAGGCGCACGCAAAATCTGGCCAGACCTGTCCATACTGCATTTGTCTGCAATTTTTGAAGCCCAACAATTGCTTTCCATTGGTTTAATTTTATACCAAACCAAAAAGGGAAAGGACACACAGCTATCTCGGCGTGCATTTGTGTTGGCGCTCGGTAATCTTTTTACCCTGTTTTAGTAGGAAACGAAAAGGACAACCACCATTTTTTTGTAGGGACCCCCGATGTTCAAAGCAGGCTAATTCACATACCACCCACATACAATATGTTCAAACAGATCCTAACATACTCCATCATACAAAATACCCTCCCAACAATCATGGAAGCTTACGGGGCATTGGTTCCTTCGTTTTTGGGGGATGCTCCCATCCACTTTCTACACATTCCCGGACTTCACCAATGGGTTCCCTGAGAAACCTTTCCCTGAGTCCAGTTGGGCGGCTCCTCTTAGGGCACCGAAATTTGGGCTGGTTCAAAGGAAAGCGAAAAGGAAACCAATGTTGGGTACCCTTAAGGAGACAAACCCATGTCAGGGTTTGGAAGGTCCAAGCCCTATAGGCGATTCCTAACAGAGTATGCTCCATGTGGTTCTGTGTCAAAATAAGCCGCAAAATGGGGATGCTCGCCTTGGTCTCCCTTCAAATCAACCCAAAAAATGGTATCGACAAAGTACGGCTTTATATTATCATTTTGTTCCAATTCCCAAAGAAATTCGAATCGACTCCAAAGCAACCCCCCAAAGGACGTACAGTATTGCCCTATGAGAGATGGTGCGTTTTTCAGAGATGGCAGTGCCTTGAGCTCATGTTGGCTTTCCCGAAATTCCAGAAACCGATCGGTTTGCCAAAACAAACGGACACCATCCCAAGGGCTTGGCTTCCGTAGGCCCGTTCGAACGACGTGAAGGTCGCAACCATTCGCCTCCAGCCGAGGCGCCGGTATGAGGCCGGCCACCCCGAGCATCGCCGCCGCGAAACGGAACGAGTTGCAAACGGCGCAGCGCCGAGTGCTTGAAACCCAGCGATCCCTACCTTCCGTGGCTAAAATGAAGGGATCCCAGAAAAACCTACAGCTTTTGGTTGAAAATCGAAGAATCCGATTGAGTTGCATGCTTTTACTTGTGGGCAAATCTGGTGAACTCATCCGCTTCTTCTCGTCCAAGATGCAGCTGCTTTCACGATTACCAATTCTGGCTGGCAGTTCATTAGAGGCTTCGTCTTATTCCCATATTCATTCCGGGACAGTTCTTGATGGTCTGCTAAAAAAACAACTCCGCTCAGCTTAGATCCAGGTGAAGTGCTCCATAGGCGTACAACAATGGTTGCCAGTCCGAATCATAGGGCTCAAAGCTTCTGAGCCAAAGCAAAGGCGAAAAGCAGGGCATTGGGGAGGTTTACAAGGTCCATCCTTTGCCCTTCACAGTGGAACGCCAGAGGGGTGACTGTTTTTGGAGGGTACAGTACCTGATGTTTGGTGGCATTTTTTGGGGAAACCAAAAGAAAAGCCATCATTTTAGTGCGTCCCCTAAAAAGGACACACCCAGATTTCCGATTGTTTCCGATATCCAAAGCCATGAAACCCTGCAGGAATGGAGGGAATGACCCTGGATCTGGAATCTATCGAATAAACAGGGATATGGGTGCGCTTGTTTCGGGGAACTTTTCACAGGGGTGCCACTGAAAATGCCCGGTCGAACTCGTCGCTAAATTGCGAGGCCAGCCGCTTCTGAAGGCGAGTCAGCAAGATGGCGCAGGCGTGCGCGGGAATCCAATCCTTGGACTTCTCCAACTCCTGGAGGTCCGACCTGTCCGAGCCCGTGTTGACATGGGGGTGCCCATTTCTTGAGGCGGGAAACCAAAGGAAACGGACGCCCCCCCCCTTTTGTTTTTGTTGTTTTGCTGTTGTTGTTGTTTTTGGGGGCGGTTCCGCGGGGTTGCCTATTTTGGCACATGTGAAAGGTGTGAAAGCAGATGGCACAATTCCCCCAGGTTGGTTTAGTCATCTTTTGACACACACCAAAAAGTTGGAACGATTCCGCAGAGATGGTTACCATCTTTCACCCTACTGAGGAGCAAATCACTCCCCGGCTATTTGCCGCGGAACCAAAAATGGTGGGGAAAGCAAAAGGAGATTCCTCTAGGAACAGTGTTTTGTTTTGGTGTCTAGATTCCATCATAGTCTGCACTCTCAGATCCTGCGCTCTTCTCGGGGCAGCTTTCCAAAATGAATCAACTATCTGGAGGTGTCCAAATCACTTCGCAGTGTGAAGCTGATGCGCTGTGAAGGGAAACTCGCTTCTTGGATCCACATTTGCGCCAACAACAGCTGGAGCCTCGATTTTGCCACGCGAAACCCAGGTGCAGAGGATAAACTTGGTTCAAACAAGTTGGACCCGCTATCGAAAGCTAAGCTCTATGGTTGATAACTCAAAGGAAACCATACTATCGAGCGGGTTTCCTGGTCTCATATCAATCCGACATCCTTGTCCTTGCAATGAAGGCCAAATCCGAAAGCACTGCACAGGGCCTCATCAATCCGCACCTTCGACATCAACAAGTCACCTTTGTTTCGAGCTAACTGCACGTCAAGCCAAAAAAACGTGCGTGGGGCATGCTTCGATCGACTTGCCCGCAACTTTCCCCCGAACTCCCCAATCAGACACGCCTGTTGCAACCCTAATCTCCCACTCCAACCCAGCACCAAAACCCAAACCTCCCCCTCAACCAACGAACAAGGACTGTCAAATCAACCCAAAGCTTGTGGGGTTGACGGTTCTTAGCGGGGAGCCCCG